TCTTCCATCTACAACCAACTTTGGCTATGATGATAGAATTGTAATTTTTTTTCCCACTTTGGTTTTTGCAATGTCTCATATCTTTTCCTATAGTGAAATCTATGTTAAGTATACCGAATCTACTCCTGGACCCTTTTATATTGTGGCAACATGTTGTCCAGGTCAAATCTTTCTGGCCCACCTATTTTTAATTTTTTTTTAATTTTTTGTATACTTCCAAATTTAGCATATATAAAAAATAATTCATGTTTTGTTCCACAATTTGCAGTGAATGATTATGAATTACTGAACTGGACTTTTCCTTCTTCTGTTTCTTATGTAAGTGTGATTCTGGTGCTGCCCATCCAATATCCAGATGTAGTTCTGTTTATTTTGTTAAAAAACAGAATGAATGTGGTAATACCTTTTCCAACTAACAAATTTTATTTAAAGGCATAACTTTTGGTCACCATGGGCTAGCATGGCTCTCCTCCTACAGTGTCTCCTGTGTTGCTTAAGACAGATGTTGCCAATGAACTAAAAATACCCTTTCAGAAAATTCTGTTGACCAATCTCCAGTACTATTTTTGTCCGTTTCTCTAATTCAGGGTTTCCCAATCCTAGAAATTTCCAGGTATATGGACTTCAAATCTCAGAATTCTCAACAATTGCTATGCTGGCTGTGGAATTCTGGGAGTTGAAGTCTATATATCTGGAAATGCATTGTCAAGAAAAGACATAACGTTAATAATAGGGGACTGGAATGCATAAATTAGAGCAGAGCTTCCCAATCTTGGCAAATTGAAGGTGAGTGGACTTTAAATCTCAGAATTCTCAGCAATGGCTATGCTGGCTGTGGAATTCTGGTGGTTGAAATCCACTCCCCTTCAATTTGCCATAATTGGGAAACTCTGCTCTAATTTATGCATTCCAGTCCCCTATTATTAACATTATGTCTTTTCTTGACCATGCATTTAATATTAATTTCAGTTTCTATAAAATTTGCTGTGTTTTCTAATTATTACTCTGTATAACATACTCATGGGATATCTGTTAATTTTTATATATAATGGTTATATCGAAATATATATTTAGTTGGGTCTTTTTGAATAACTTCGCCATTTCTTCATGTAGCTACATCCCCTTTACACCATATCAGGCCCATTACAGACCACTTAATATCTGGTATCCAAGTTCATCTAAAATCAGGGGTCCTCAACCTTGTCAACTTTAAGACTTGTGGACTTCAACTCCCAGAATTCCTCAGCCAGCCTTGCTGGCTAAGGAATTCTGGGGGTTGAAGTCCACAAGTCTTAAAGTTGACACGGTTGAGGACCCCTGATCTAAATGCTTCAACCATACCAATATAGTTATCTCAGGAAGGGTGCAGAAGTGGTTTGCTGTCGTCTTCTTCTAGGGTGGACTTTGGATTTTCTTCTACCAGATAGCTTGGCTTCCTTTATCCCTGAAGAACTTCCCCTGCTCTTGTAGTAGATTATTCTACTTTTATTATTTACCTCTCTCCTTTTAAGCTTATTGGTCAGGAGCTGCCTGTTCTCACCATGCCATTCTCACAGATAGTTTCTAGCTTCTGAGGGCTACCACCACGGAAGGTGGTGTTCCTCTTTAAAGGGAATTTTACATTTCACTTTAGAAGTAGATGTTTCTGTTTAGGGCAAGCCTCATCTAATAGTTATTTTTAATGGTTCCAGACTAGAAAATGAGAACAAGATGGGCTATTTATCCAGACACTTTGACATAAAGAATAAAACCACCGTTAGCAAGCATTTAAAACATAAATCATTCCCTTTTGTAATGGAAGAGATGGAGCATAAGTGCACTTCTATTGCAAAAAATGATTCATAAGGAATTGGATATATGACACAGCAAGTTATTCAGTGATTAGTTGCTTTGCCAGTGTGCTTGATTTCCAGAGGTATTTATATGTGGAAGGAGTATCTGTTGGGATTAATCTGTTGGCTGGAAAGGACTGGGCTAAAGGATAGCACTGGGCACTGATCATAGCAACAAAGAATAGGCACCAGATCCTTAGAAGCAGGGATCTACCACACTAGACAGAACCTGAAGTGCAGCCTATGCAAAGAGACCGCAGAGACAGTCCAAACATAATGTCAGGGTGTAAGATTCAGGCGGGAACAGCATACACTGATTATCCTACCTAGTTTGGTAATGAAATCTGCAAAAAACAACTAAGCTCAGATAGCGCCAAGGACTCCACAGATACACTAAATGGCACAACCAAGTAGGTGGCATTGTGTGTAGAATCAGCCACACAGTGTATGGGCTAGACCTTTCCAAGTCCAGATGGGAGATTTCACAGAAGATTGTGGAAAATTAACTAAGATCTTATGGGACTTGTTATCCAGATCCAAATGGGCATGTAGGTAATGGTCAGTAAACCAGACATTGTGGTTGTAGACGAGGACCAGAATATAGCAATGGTGATAGACGAATCGGTGCCAAGTGACAGCAACATCAGGAAGAAGTATGAGAAGCTGGAGAAGCACTAGAGCTGTGGTGGCGAACCTATGGCACGTGTGCCAGAGGCGGCACTCAGAGCCCTCTCTGTGGGCACGCGTGCCGTCGCCCCAGTCCTAGGCCTTCAGCTGGGTTTTATAAAACCTTTTCGCTTTAGGCCTCCACCACGGTGTGCAAGAAAAAAAAAAGATTCAATCAGTCAATTTCAACTTCTCGTGGGAAAAAAAAGATCTTGCAAAGTTGGAATTGATTGATTGAACTTTTTAGTCCCACTGCTGTTACCACCGTAGCCACGCCCACCCAGTGGGCCACACCCACCTGGCACTTGACAATGCGTAAGTGGGTTTTGGGTTGCAGTTTGGGCACTCAGTCTCTAAAAGGTTCGTCATCACTGCACTAGAGCCTGAAGGAAGAATTAGAGAGGATGTAGAAAGTGAAGGTCAAAAAGGACCCAGTAGTGGTAGGAGCCCTCAAGGCTGCAACTCCTAAGCTGGCAGAACAGCTCCAACAGAGGTAAAGTCATTTTTGTCTAAGGCAATGGCCCGCAACCTTTTGGGCACCAGGGACCAGTCCCATGGAGAGAGGTTTTTCCACAGACTGGAGGGGACATGGTTTCATGTGCTGCCTGCATCTCATGGATGGGGCTTCACTTGTTTGCGTGGCCCAGTTTCTGGTTGCCTAGGTGGTTTCTTAAGAAGTTGAGTGTGATAGTGTTATCAAACCACTTCTCCCTTTGCTTTTAAAGGTTTTTGAACTTGCGTGTGTTCCAATCAATCATCAGACACCTTTAGAGGAGGCAGGACTGCCATACCTTCTTACCTCTTTCTTCTGTGAATACAGGGTGAGGTTTTTAGAATAACCCTTAGGTCTTAGATTCCATATATACATCAAAGCTGCTATGTAGCATCCCAGTGGTGTTAGAAGAGCCTGGTTGTATCCTTTCCATAGAATAGAATAGAATAGAATAGAATAGAATAGAATAGAATAGAATAGAATAGAATAGAATAGAATAGAATAGAATAGAATCTGGAAGGGACCTTGGAGATCTTCTAGTACAGCCCCCTGCTCAAGCAGGAGAACCTATATCATTTCAGACAAGTGACTGTCTAGTCTCTTCTTAAAAACCTCCAGTGATGGAGCGCCCATGATTTTTGAAGGCAAACTGTCCCACTGGTTAATTGTCCTCACTGTTAGGAGTTTCTCCTTAATTCCAGGTTGCTTCTCTCTTTGGTCAGTTTCCAACCATTGTTTCTTGTCCTGCCCTCTGGTGCTTTGGAAAATAATTTGATCCCCCTCTTCTTTGTGGCAGCCCCTCAAATACTGGAATACTGCTATCATGTCACCCCTAGACATCAGCTAGCACAGCTCTCCTCTAGGAGAGGAGTAAAATATCTAGGAGTAAATTTTTACAAGATAAAGGTAGCTCATGCTTGTGGTTATGTTTTTCTTTATTGGTTATAAAATAATTCCTTCTTTATTCTCAGTCTTCTAGTGTGTACAAATTTTCAGTCTTACCGTATAACATTTATGTGACCTTCATTCTTGTTCTTGGCACTTCCGGGTGCAAGAGACCAATGATGTGATAAACTTGCTAGCTTTCAAGTAATAAAACAATAATTTGAATCTGCTCCAGTTGGTGGTTTTCTTGATAAATGATTTTTTTTATCACAACTTCGGGTAGTATTCTTCCACAAATACCAAGGTTTGGGTCCTCTCAGTTGGGTTTCCTCCTTTGAGACCTGAACCTTTACTGTCACATTTTCACTCAGGGTCTATCATTGTATCTTAGTTTCTATCATACTTTTCTCATCCTTTTCATAACGAGTTAGAAACAAATGATAGAAAATCACTTTATAGTGCCCCATGCTTTCGCATCATATTGTAATTCCTTCCATATGTGTTGTATTGAATGAATTGAGCTGTTGTGTAGACTTTTGACTTTTTATATATCACTCTTGGTGTTAATTTGAATTCATGTGTACACATATGCATAAAGATCTTACTTGTTTACAGATTTTTTTAAAAAATATGCCCTGCTAAGAACATTTTTATGGAGTACTCATAAGTCTCATAAATGTGTTCTTATGCATCTCATCCTAGGACACTGCCCCTCCTACCATACACTGCAACAGGTAATGCAATGCGGGTAACCAATATAATTTATTGGTTATGAAGTATTTCACAATATAGGATTAGAAATTGCTAGTCTGCCAAATACAAAGCAGATTTATAGCAGGCTACCCTTGCCTGCCCATGATGAAAAAGGTACAAAAAGTGGATAATTTGGGCCACGTTCTAAGAATGTAGCCTCTAAAGAAAACTAATATATATTTTTTCTTTTTTTGATAGTACATCATGTTTTTAGTACATCATGTTTTAGACCAATGAAGTTGGAAGGAGTTACATGAAGAAGCAGAAGTCATGGGGAGAAGGAGGAGAAAAGGACCTGTTATGTTGTGCCAATTTGCATTGAATAAGTCACAAACTAATCTTTGTTTCCTTGGCTTAAATTGTGATTTCAGGGATTGGCTACAAGTCTTCAGCCCGCCTATCATTCCTCCTAGCCAACAGGTGGCAGAATATAACAAAGCTTCAGCAAACATAAGTGCCCAAGGTAAGAATGAGTGGAAATATTTCCACTGAATTGAAGTGAGAACAAAAGAACATTAGAAACTGCAGCAACATGCCATTAACTCCTTCATTTGTCGGATAGTATAAAAATGCTATAAAAATGGAGTCCTTGGTGCTCTCCGAGCTTGGCTATTTTTGTGCAGACATTTCATTACCCAGATAGGTAACATCTTAAGTGCTAAAAGGGAGAGGACTTTGCTCTCTGTTTATATATAGGAGATTATTCTATCAGTGTTGGTGTTTTATCTTTGATAATTCCTTAATAGGGTTGTTGTTGCTTGATTGTCTGGTGTTAATCCAAATGTAAATCTCTGCTTGTCTGAATGTTGATTGCTGGCCAGGAGATGTTCTAGTCTTTTTCTTCCCTTTTTAAGTTTTTTATTGTCTCTTTTGAATGTTATGTAACTGTTCTTTATCTCTGTGTGCCTGTTGTTGACTGATTTGTCTGAGTTGCCAGGAATTCCAGGCATTTTGGGATTTAGCTTGATTATAGGATGCTCAAGTTTCCCAGTTGAAACTATGGTTAAATCTGTCCATGCATTGTGAAATTAAGGAAAGCCCACTCCCTATAGCAGTGATGATGTTACCTACTTGGGTAATGAAGCACCTGCAGGAAAACAACTAAGCTCAGAGCACAAAGGACTCCACAGTTCATCCCTGAGTTACATATATTGTCTTTTATTAGTATATAGGTTGTGCCTTCTCGAATACCTCAGATAATTCTTCTTTTAGCATTCCTACACAGGGACCCACCAGCACCACTTTGTTCTGTTCTTGAATATTATATTTAATGAAAAAGAGAGTTGTGCTGCCTGTTTCTTAGGAAAGGGCTTAATGAAGCAATTCTGCCATGAATGAAATCATAAACTAGCAGCATTTGCCTAAGAATTTCACTTCTGTTCTCCTTCCTTGCCTTTTCCACCCTACAACCCACCAAGGATTCCTATCATTTTCACAGTTCCATACGAGAACTTAATGTGTATTTGCAAGCAGCAAATATGTGGAGGAAGAGCTGTCCATTAAATCTAATTTTCCATTAAACCCAGTTTATATAATTCACAAAATTAATGTAATTTTCATGCAATTGATATGTTATGTATGAAAAAACACACATGTTTTGTTATTTATGTAAATTGTCCATATTACTTTGCCGTAAAACAGACTCTTTCCTAGGGAGGAGTCTGAAGTTAATTTTTTCCATTAAATCAGATGTTTGCTGAAGAAGACTCCATAAAAATCAAGATTTGACTGTACTTTAGTTATTGTAGGAGTGAAGGCAAGTTAGTAATGGATTCCTTAACAGAGATCATACTATATAAACAGGGAGTTTTTTCAGGAACGTGTAAATTTGCAATATGTTATAACAGCAGAATAACTATCAAGATCAGGAATGACTTTCAGAGGTCTGAATGTACATAAGGTTAAAGATGCTAAATACGCCACTTTAATTATTGTATTTTTTTTATTCAAACATATACTAAATAAATATTTTAGATGAGGAAGTGAGAAAATTTTTAATATCAATCTAATGAAAATTCCATTTCTTCTGAAGCTCTGCTGCAATTCTCAGAAATCTTAAAAGCCAAGAAAATTGCATGGAAGAACCTGTTCAACTATTCCATATTAAAAAGTGATTTTCAGTTCGATCCAGAGGTGTCTCCTGAATTTATTAATTGATTAGATTTCTACCTTACCAAAGTCTTCATGACTCTTGATGGCTTCCATACTGTATAGCAGTGCCTTTTTAAAAAAAAATGCCATTACTACAAGTTAGTATCATAAAACTGAAGGAAAAAAAACAATAAAACAAAAAAATAAAAATGAAGGCAGAGAAGAAATAAATCAGCAGGAATTTCTGACCGTCAATTGGCTTTTTTCTACCCTGAATAATGCAGCAGAAATACAGCAACTTACTACTGCAATTGAGCCCAACGTTTCTGTTGCTAAGCAAGATAGTTGTTAAGTGAATTGTGCCTCATTTTATGACAGGTTTGCCATAGTTGTTAAGCAAATCGCCACACTTGTTAAGTGAAATATGCGGTTGTTAAGCAGATCTGGATTCCCCTCTTGAATTTGCATGCCAGCTGAGAAGATTACCAATAGTGACCCCATGATGCCGGGACACTGCAACTGTCATAAATACATGCCAGTTGTCAAGCACCCGAATATGACAATGAAGATGCTACAACGTAAGTGTGAAAACCAGTCATAAGTCTGAAAAGTGCCGTTGTAACTTCGAACGGTCACTAAACAAATGGCTGTGACTCAAGGATTACTTGTATATGAGGGGCAGGGAGTAAAGAGCAGATATTTATATGAAACATTATGATCTTTTAGTCCAAAGCAATCCTGTGTCTCCTAACAAGAAGATTTCATTTTTACCTGGGCCAATAATGCTTTCCAGCAATTATTAGGGATTATAAACCCATAGGAGAAATAGTGCTTCAAACAACAGTTGTTTCCTGAAAGCATGATACTTCCTGAATCACAGAGGGACAAGTTTGAAAATAACAAAATCATGGTATCAGTCATAAAAACCTATGATTATTTACTACTGTACAGAATATCCCTGTCGATTTTTACATGCTTCTCTAATGAAATCCTAAAACAACCAGTTCTTTTTATTGCTAGTAAAAGGATTCTGTGCTATCTTTTATTTGAAACATAATTCATTGTGAATATACAAGAGACCAAAAGTTTTTCTCCCTTTTATAGTTTCTTGACTGTTTGTAAAGTATTTGTTTGTTCTGAAATAGATCTTTTAGGCCTTGAAGGAACGCAGTGATGGGAGAAGGAATGGATAACATTCTTTTTTAAAAAAAACCAATCCCCTTTGCAAATGAGTGCCATGTTCCTTTAGTTTCATTTCATACCAAGGAGCCGTCTTTCTCAAACAGAATCCCAAATCCATGTGGTCAGGTTTATTCCTGAAGCAAAGGCCACTTTAATACTTCTGAGCTTGCATCAGTGGAATAAGTAGTGACTTCCTTATCCTGCCATTTGCTCCTGTAATGCAGTAGACAAAGCCAGTATGTTGAATTAGAACCTTGTGTATCAAATGGCATCGTTAGATAGTTGGTACCATTTTCTGATTTGGTGTTTCTTAACGCTTAGTGAGGATGACTTGATTCTGTAAATCCTTTGCATCCTTTCAATTAGCCCCCAAGCAAAAGTAATGGTAAAGGCAATGCCAGTTGGCTTTATTATACCGTGTAACATAACTGTGGCTTAGGGGACTCATGCTAGGTAGTAGATTTTTCAGACAATGATGAACATGTGATGGAAAGTAGGCTTAGATCAATTCCCAAACTTAATTCAGTAATATGCATTAAGGGAGTATGAGAGGACGGCCGGGTTATAATGTCCCTGCAAAGTTAGTTTTATGTGGTGTCATCTGTTTACAAGGAGGAGGAGGGAGAGGACGATGATGACAATTCGGCCAATAATATCATCCACTTACAAAAACAATATAATTAATTTGTGTTACAAAGAATTTAGCCTTCGGGCATCCAATTTAAAAATAAATAAAATATTTATTTAGGAATTAGAGTTTGTGTGCAAACCCCAGAACAATCACATCAATTTGGGCTTTCGAAAGCCATTTCAGATTGATACATGATTTTGACAAATGCTCCATTTCTCTATGATCAATGAATAAAATAAGCGCTCCCAAAACTGAGGAAAGAAGATGGCTCTTAACGTATCACAACTGGCAATTGAGTATCTCCAGATGGCTGGAATTATAGTTCTAATAATCTCTTGCTATTGGCCATATGACAGGGGCAGATGAGAACTGATGTTCACAGCATCTGGAGAATACCAGGGTCACTTGCCTTTCTTATATCACGTTTTAATGTGCAAAGTTCCCTAACAACACTCCCATAATAAGACATTTCTCTTTAAGAAACAAAGCTGTGTTGATGAGCTAATAGTAATAGTAGTAATAGTAAAGTAAAGTTGGAAGGGACCTTGAAGGTCATCTAGTCCAACCCCCTGCTCAGGCAGGAAACCCTATACCATTTCGGACAAATGGCTGTCCAGTCTCTTCTTAAAAACTTCCAGTGTTGGAGCATTCACCGCTTCTGGAGGCAGGTTGTTCCACTGGTTAATTGTTCTCACTGTCAG